CCCACCACTCCTTTTTTCTCCCCCCCACCCCATCCAGTGTACGGCATGCTGCTGGGAGATACGCTTATCCTGGACACACTGGACCAGGCAAACTTATACAGACAGGAGGTGGGTATACAAATATGTGGTGGGTACACAAGATACGTGGTGGGCATAGCTGCATCCGAGTCTCTTCCAGACCTGCGCCCATTCCATTTAACTATTCAACATTCACAATTTTTCCCTGCTTCTCTCAGCTATTCGAGATGTTGCAGAGCTATTTGAATGCTGTATGATTTTTACAGACAATGAAAATTTTTCTCTAATTTTTCGTAACCCATTGTGAAATTGGTCGCTTTTAAAGACAAACAGGCTAACCCAGATTTAAGAGGTTTCCCGAAATCTTGACCTACAGCGAAATGGATATTGCCCTACCTACAGGAGTAGTTTGGTTTCATTGGTGTCTATATTTGTTTGGTAATAGAGAAAACTCCCCTTGTCTTTTAAAGAAACTGAACTAGGGGCAAAAACTTTAAATTCGATTTTCTCAAAACAGCATTTTTCGGGCTAGCTCCCTTGTGCTTAACAGCGACCAATTATAGAGTATGTTATATACAAAACTACTGAAGTAAATACAGAGATATTTAGTGGTTGGCGGATGCTCTGGTGTGGTTTGCTCCTTCTTCCCCATCAAATGTCTACTGTCCTTACCTCTCCTCTTTTTCTTGTTTTTTGTTAATTTCTTGTAACACCTCTAATCTTATTGTGTAGCAAGTGCGGTAAAACTCTTTACTTAAACTAAAGAACAACAATTCAAAGCATAGCAGAGCCCTTCAAATGCCATTTGATTTTTTCTAGACAAAGAGTTTTCGTCAAATTTTTCTCAACACATTGTGAAATCTGAGCATATTATTATATATAATATCAATGGGGTGGGGTGGGGGGGTGTGTCGGGGTGTGCTCTGAGGTGGTTTGCTCCTTCTTTCCCCTATCAAACATCCATCATCCTTATCTGTCCTTTTTTGTGTTTTTGCTCTGTAATCTTCAGCACTTGTATTACCTATTTGTGTTGCAAGTGCCATAAAATGCTTACTAAAACAGGAAACAAGAAATACTTGTTACTGGTTTGTGGGTGCTCTGGTGTGGTTTGCTCTTTCTTTTCTATGAAGAATCTATCATTGCCATCTCCCCTCCTTCTTTTTTGTGTTTGTTGCTCTCTTGCAACACCTCTAATCTTCAGCACCTATATGACCTTATTGTGTTGCAAGTGCCGTAATACTCTTACTAAAAGCAAAGAAATACTTATCTCCCTAACAGATCATCAAGTACACCCACTGTCCCACCATCCTGACCCGCAGCGGCGACCGTATCCGTAGCAACGGCAAGTTTGGCGGGGCGATGAACAAAGCCCCACCCGTGGACAAGATGAAGGGATGTGTGTTTGGGCAGCCGTTGCCGCTGGCTTACCATGCTGTTTGCACACAGATAGGTGGGTTCTGCTAATGGTTGATGTTATTGCTGTCGTTGTTCAGTCCAGTCCATTTATAACAACCTCTGTTAGTACAGGAATTTGGAGATAACAGTAATAAATCAAAACCCTGTTTTTTTTCTCTATAAGTGTTAGTAATGTGAACCTGGCTATAACAGGGTTCAATTTGCGCAGACTCTGTTATAACAGTAATTTTGCGGCGCATGAACTTGCTTTTGATCCGACAAATTATAAAAATTTGTTTCAGCCAAGACATTTCGCCTGTTTGTATGATCGCTTGCTTAAACATAAACTTTCAAACGCATACCTCCCGTAGTATTGTTCCTTCTATCCTTATCAAATATCTATTTTCTTTGGTGGTGGTCATTATTATGGTTGTTGTAGTGGTAACAAATATTTGATTTGATACTTTAGATTTTTAATATTTTTCGCAAAGTTTAGGTGGTTGGAAATTTGACTGGCATGTCCAACTTTATTACCTGCCTTCTTTTTCTAACGCTAAGTGACCATTTACTTTGTGAATGTGTGTTTCTTTTCAAAGGTGAAAAAAAAAAGTTTCCCAGAGATAATGAATAAATACTCAATAATTTTTTACTTTTTTTTAGGCGATAATATTTTATTTTAAGTTTGTGATTTTACGCTTTTTTTTTAGTCATACCGTGACGTTTATATATATTTTAAAAAATCTATTTAGATCTATTTATTTTTATGGGAGACCTTTTTAAAGACTTGATTTAATTTAACTCGTTATCTCCGGCAAGCTGCTCCTAGCGGCTCGTGGTTGGAACCGTTGTGCCGATGAGCCACTGACTAAGGCACATTCCTTTACAACAACTTGAACATCAAACTATTTTTTGGCAACTACCTAAAACAGGTTTCTTTTCTCGAGAGATAATGCATTAGATGAAGAACTCTCGCTGTACGGTACCCACAAATCATCCCCGCCCGCCCCCTACTCTCACCCGACCCCTACTCTCACCTGCCCCCTACTCTCACCTGGTGGGTGGTTGGCGGGTGCTCTGGTGTGGTTTGCTTCTTCTTTCCTATCAAACATCTGTCGTCCTTATCTCCCCTCCTTTTTTATGATTGTTACTCTCTTGTAACACTTCTGATCTTCTGGCGCTCATATGACCTTATGCAGTTGTGAGCGCCGTAAAACCTCTACTAAAACAAGAAGAACTATCGAAATAAGTTCACTTGTTGTGATTTAATAACCCATTTAGTGACTTTTTGGTCATTTTTAGATTTAGTACCAAAAAAGGGCCCCGGCATAGTGGGTTTACTCCCCTTGGAGATAAAGAGTTAATTTAATTTATTTTTCCGTAATGCCAGAGTCCCTGGAGAAGTACAAGACGGCCCTGGTGTCCCACATCTCAGCCCAGGACGAGCTACAGGAGCAGGTGCAGCAGCAGAAACTTCCGGAGGCCATGGAGAAGTACCACGAGTGTAAGGAGGCGGAGAACAGGCTCAAGGAGGTGGAGGCCAGGCTAGGTGAGCACTTATCCCAGTTTTAAAATATTTTTTTGTTTTTCTTTGGGAAGTTTTCTTGTGTGGCGTTGGTGGCCTAGTGGTTAGGCTACCGGACTCGTAATCGTGAGGTTGCGGGTTCGTGAGTTCAGGCCGCGGGCCCGACGTTGTGTCCTTTGGAAAGGCGCTTTACTCGGATTTTCCTCACTTCACCCAGGTGGTAATGGGTACCTGATCATTGACAGCGAAAGATCTTGTCAGTATGTTAGTGCTTTGGCGCCCATTTAATGGCAGCTTTCACTGTATGCTTTCCAGGAAGTTGAGGTTGTTTCAGACTGCTCTCAGGTCTGCTGGGGTAAAAGTATGGATTGTGAAATTTTTTATTTTTTTAAAAGAGAGTAAGAAAGGAGGGAGTGAGTGGTTAGTTGGAGGGTTTTTGGGGGTAGGTTCTGCCAGGGAAATTTTATTTATCAAGTACCTCTTCCTTTCTAATTCAATGCTGTGTTCCACTCAGTCTAGGTTGCCTCAACATGCAGTATGCAGGGTGGAAACAGTCAGCCTCCTAACTTTCTTAACTGTATCTACAAGGATGGTAAAACATCTGTGAGGCATCATGGTGAAATCAGGCACTCGTCAAAATAATTAAAATCCAAGAAATCGGCATTTTTTTGACTGATGGGCATTTTTTTTTCTCGTTTTCTTTTTTGGGTCAACACCTTTTATGTCCATTTAATTACACATTTTTGTTTGAATTTTACGTTAAAAAATTTATTAAAGGCACAAAAAATGTAAATTGTCAGTTTCCAAGGACTCTGAGGCAATGGAAGTTACCAAATTTTGGTGGCCATTTTCTCGCTACTTTTACTTCTGAAACTAAGCGACCCTGATCACCTTCAATCGCAAATGTTTTGACTTTTATTCAACATAAATGGATATTTTTTTCATCAAAAGGAATGCAAATGAACAGGCTTTATGATGATACCCATAATCCCATATGCCCAAAAATTGAAAAGCGCCTGATTCCACTACGTCATGACACATTTATCAAGACCTCTTCCTTCCTAATACGATGCTCTTTTCCACTCAGTCTGAGTTGCCTCAACTCAACATGCAGTGTGGAAACAGTCAGCCTTCTAAAATTTCTTAACTGTATCTGTAAGGATGGTAAAACGTTTTATAAACTATTTCTCTCTTCAGACTGACTCAGTGGTGTAGCAGTTTAGTACTTCTTGTCACTCGCAGGAGATGTGAGTTCGGTTCCCATGTGGGGGAGAATTCTTATTCACTGTAGTGTATTATTCTTTCTGCTGGGACATTGTGTCACTCTCTGCCCAGGTTGGTCCTGACAGGCAGAGTTGAAGCAGCCCCGCCTTCTAAATGTGAAGCGTGCTGACAAAATGAGTTACTTCTCGGATTCTAGCCCTATGGACATCATGCTAATAAGTGGGGTTTTTACAATTTATAAATATGAAATATTAAAAGGCATGTTATACTAAATGAATATGGCATATAGACCCTAGTGTCGATTTTTGGCCAATATCTCTAATTACGGATTGCTAGAAGTAACTCATTTTGTCAGCACACCTCACAAATGGTCTACATTATGATTTGGAATTGAGAAGTGAAGCAATCTACAATAACCATGACAATATTTCTTCTCACCCACTAGGTGTTGGAACCCCAGTGCGGGCCACCAAACAAGGGAACCGCTCAGCCACCACCAACTCTGACCCAGAACCGGCGCTGAAGAAACCCAAACTGGAGCCAGGCTCTGCCCCCTCCTCCTCGGCAAGCCCCGCCCCCTCCTCCAGCAGCGCGGTTAGCCCCGCCACCGTGGGCCGAGCCCGGCCCGCCCCCGTCCAGGACCCGTCCTTCACGCCCAGCAGGACCTCGCTGCGCATCGCTTCCATGACCACCGTGGTGTCGGACGACGGGCGGAAACGTCTCAAGAAATCCAGCACGTAGTAGGGGGAGAGGGG